TGGCATCGAGAATAGCTGTAGGCCCGTACCGCCCAAGCGATGTCGGCGCAAGGCGTTCGCAGCCGCAACTGCATGCAAGAGGAATCACCAGCGGCACTTCCAACCCCGCCCACTTGACGCAGCCAGCCGACCTGTCCAGTACAGGTGCGGAAGGCGCAGCTCCGGCTCCGCCCGGCTCAACGCCAGGCGCGCATCGCCTCATAGTGCGAATCGTTTCTAAGTCTTTGTTTTGTAGCAAGCCTGTTCCGAAATGGTGGTTGATCACTTTGGCGGTGCCCTCCTTGACCACCGCAAGCATCTTCATGATGCGCTTGGAACGAGGCAGCCTGGCGAGCAAGGGGTTCGAAATCTGATGGCCAGCACGTTCTCTGACGTTGACCCTGCCCAGGCGCGGTAGCAACCGCAACGCCTTCATCAAAGCAGCGCTAGTCATGCGCTCACCCCGGTGCTTTGGCAAAGCAGAGTCCTTGGCGATGGCCATCCTCTTGCGCCCCTTCCGGCGCACTTGCGGCTGAAGGCCCATGGCTTTGGGCACCGAGGACTGGCATGTCTGCGCAGCCTCGTTGTGGGCCTCATCACCTCCATGCACCAAGCGTCGCAACTCATCCAGCCCAGTAACCCTGAAAGGCGACACCATGCATGCGACGATGTGTTCGTTTCGGTTCGTTGGACGCCGCGAAATGTGAACCGTCTTCTTTGAGCCAATAAGTGTACGGCTTCGCGTTTGAGTGGTTGCGCACGAGGCCCTCAGGAGCCGCCCAAGACGGCCCAAGAGGCCCCCAAGACGGCCCAAGAGGCGCCCAAGATGGCCTCAAGAGGACCCCAAGAGGGGGGTCGCGATCCGAAAATCCGAGCATTCCGCCCCAAGAGGGCCCCAAAAGGCCCAAAGAGGCCCCAAGAATCCCCCAAGAGGCCCTCAGGAAGCTCCTAAGAGGCCCCCAGGAGGCCCAAAAAACGCCTCCAAGACGCTCCCGAGAAGCCGCCCACGAGACCCCATCAGCCATCCGAGTGGCTTCAGCCCCACACAACCACGTGGGCCGGCGGAATGAGCGAAGCGATTAAATAAGTGCACGGCTTTGCGTTTGAGTGGTTGCGCAATTGTGCGATAACCTAAAAACTTCGCGGATGTCAAAATGAAATCCCACCAGCCCTCTGGGCGTAGGTGGTTTAACGAGTTTTGTCTTCTCTCTTTCCACAACCCCTCCTACCCCTGCTCAGGCTACCCCCTCCACTGGGCCCGAGAGGTTAGAACTGCCAAGATGGCCCAAGATGGCCCAAGAGCGGCCCAAGAGCAGCCCAAGAGCGGCCCAAGAGGGCTCCGATACGCCCTTTTTGAACCCCCGAGGGGGGGGACATAAGAAAACCTTCTTCATTTTTGAGCCATGGGGCCAAGATGGCCCCAAGAGACCTCTCAGACGCCCCCAAAGAGCTCCAAGAGGGCCCCAATATGGCCCTAAAAGAGCCCCAAAAGAGCCCCAAGAGGACCCCAAGAGGACCCCAAGAGAGCTCCCAGATGGCTCCAAGAGACCTCCGAAAACCTCTCACAACAACACCTCCACTCGCCTGGGCATCGTTGCTGGATGGGCTGGTGGGGATACGCGAAGCGTCAAAAATTACATACAACAAACAGTGTTTGCACTCAGTGGCGTCACACTTATGTTGCTAAGGATATGGATGGGTGCTGCAGGGTTCCGCCACGTTCTGGGCGCAACCTATGACACAACCTATTCGACGGGTCCGGAGAGGCTCCGCCACGTTCCGGGCGCAACCTATGATTCAACGCATGGCGCATCAGATTCGACGGGTCCAACAAAATCCCGCCACGTTCCGGGCGCAATCTATGGCGCATCCTGTGGCACCATTTGGGTTGCCCATCGTCGTCGCCATCATCATCAGCATCATCATCGTCCTCGCCGTCTTCATGACCATCATCATGGTCATCCTCATGACCATCATCATGATCATCCCCATCCCTTCTCCTCCCCTCATCATCATCAACCTCATCATGGTAATCGTCAGTATCATCATCATCATGATCATCATCAATGTCGTCATCATCATCATCATCATCATCATCATCATCATCATCATCGCCATCATCATAATAAGTCCAGCAAGGCCGGCTGGGCTGGTAACGGGCTGGTAGGGCCGGGCCGGTAGGACCGGTACTTAAGGGCCGGCAGGGCCGGTAAGGCCGGTATAGGCCGGTATAGGGCTGGTATAGGGCTGGTATAAGCCGGTAAGGCCAGGGGAAGGCCAGGGGCCGGCCTGCAGGGCCGGCAGGGCCGGTTGGGCCGGCAAGGCCGGCAGGGCCGGCAGGGCCGGCGGGGCCGGTAGAGCTGGCAGGGCTGGCAGGGCCGGCAGGGCCGGCAGGGCCGGCAGGGCCGGCAAGGCTGGCAGGGCCGGTAGCGACCGGCAGGGCCGGCAGGGCCGGCAGGGCCGGCAGGGCCGGCAGGGCCGGCAGGGCCGGCAGGGCCGGGGCCGGCAGGGCCGGCAGGGCCGGCAGGGCCGGCAGGGGCCGGCAGGGGCCGGCGAGGCCGGCAGGGCCGGCAGGGGCCGGCAGGGCCGGCAGGGGCCGGCAGGGCCGGCAGTGGCCGCAGGGCAGCGGCCGGCAGGGCCAGGGCCGGCAGGGCCGGCAGGGCCAGGGCCGGGCAGGGCCGCCGGCAGGGCCGGCAGGGCTGGCAGGGCCGGCAGGGGCCGGCGAGGCCGGCAGGGCCGGCAGGGGCCGGCAGGGCCGGCAGGGGCCGGCAGGGCCGGCAGGGCCGGCAGCGGCCGGCAGGGCCGGCAGCGGCCGGCAGGGCCGGCAGCGGCCGGCAGGGCCGGCAGGGCCGGCAGCGCATTTTTAGGCTCTGTTTTTTTTCCAAATCCTCTTGGGCCATCTTGGGCGCCTCTTGGGCCGTCTTGGGGCCCTCTTGGGCTGTCCTGGGGCCCTCTGGGAAACTTCTTGGGCCGTCTTGGGGCGGTCTTGGGCGCCTCTTGGGCCGTCCTGTAACGTCGGAAAGCCCAAAAGGCGACTTTGTTAAAAATGTACGTTTTACGAAGGGAATGGGCCAATTCTTGCGTCTAGGGGCCCTCTTGGGACGCATGTTGGAGGCTTCTTGGAGCCTCTTGGGGGCGTCCTTGGACGTCTGGGGTCTCCTGGGGCCTCTTGAGGGGCCTCCTGGGGGCCTCCTGGCGGCCTCTTGGGGCGGAAGGCTCGAGCTTGCGGTTCGTGGTCCCCCTCTGGGCCCCCTCTTGGGCCCGTCTTGGGGCCCTCTTGGGCCATCTTGGGCGCCTCTTGGGCCGTCTTGGGGCCCTCTTGGGCTGTCCTGGGGCCCTCTGGGAAGCTTCTTGGGCCGTCTTGGGGCGGTCTTGGGCGCCTCTTGGGCCGTCCTGTAACGTCGGAAAGCCCAAAAGACAACTTTGTTGAAAATGTACGTTTTACGAAGGGAATGGGCCAATTTTTGCGTCTAGGGGCCCTCTTGGGACGCATGTTGGAGGCTTCTTGGGGCCTCTTGGGGGCGTCCTTGGACGTCTGGAGGCCATCTTCAGCATCTCGGAGCCCTCTTGGAGGCCTCTTGGAAGTTTCTTGGGCCGTCTTGGGCGCTTCTTGGGCCGTCTTGTCTGACTGGGGAGGCCTCCGGCAAGCTCCGATGAGCCTCCGGGCCCCCCGGGGTGCACATTTGTGGTCGAGGTCCCGGCCCCGGGCCCCCGGACCCGGTGCGCCGTTATATGTATAAACACCATCATCGGCATCATCAGCAGCATCAGCATTCTGCCTTCTCATCCTGCATCCTCCTCCTGACTCCTTCTCCTCCCCCCTCTTCCTCCTCCTCCTCCACTTCCTCCTCCTCTTCCTTCTGGTAAACATCTCGTGTCGATGTCTGGGCCCGTGTGGGCTGAGTTCCTCCCAGACGTTCCACGGTGGGCAGGTTGGGGGCGCTGTCCGCGGGAAGCAGTGGCCCTTCCAATGGATACAACGACTGTCTTGGTGTTGTCATTGTTTTGGCTCTTCCGCCTGTCCTTCACACCACCTTTTGCCGTCTGTGTGCAGGATGTTCCTGCGTATGTGCACTACCCAGTTCACTGAAGCGCTCAAGGTCAAGGATCATGAAGATGAGAGCGATAAGTTGACTGACTTTCAACGGTGTGAAAGGCGGGCAACGATGCTACCGACATACGCCGCTGCCAAGCGAGGGGCTTCTGTCCACCCCCGATTCTCTGACGAAGAAACCCGACTCGTGGCCATGAAGATTCGTATAGCTCAATATGTCTGTTACCTGGCCGACCAGCTGATGGCCATTTGGTCACGGCTCGATTCAACTGGCATTGGTCGTGCCGTGTCGGTGCCCTTCGTGGCGTTCTCAACGGTGCATTCGCATAACGCGGCAGGAGGTCGTGCCTACCGCCGCTGACTGTTCAGGTCAGTTCCCCTCGGTAGCCCTCACCTGACAGAAGCGAGGGCACAGGATGGTAGCTGCTCCTGAAATGTTATGCGTGCATGAATTGTTGTAAGTACCGTAGTGGGGTGCCAGCTGAATAAGCGTTAGAAGCCATGCCTTCCTGAGGGCACGTCTCTTCTGTCAAAGTCTGCTGCAGCTGCAGTCAAGTCTCTTAAGCGTGGTTTTCACCCTAACGCTCCAGCCGTGACGAGTGATCCCTTTAATCTCGAGAATGCTGGATCAGAGGCCACTCTCCAGCAAGTCGCCTCCTCTTTGAGGCAAGCTGATGCATCTACAGTTTCAGGTAACGCTGATTTCGACCTGGAGTCGGGCTCTGACCAGCTTGCTCTAATATTCTCCAAGTGGGCACCGCAGGAGCCTGGTCTGGTTAGAAAAACTGGTGTGCCTACTCTTCCTCCTGATCATGTCTTCTCATCCTCCTCCTGCACCATCATCTTCCTCCTGCCTCCTCCTGCCTCCTCCTCCTCCTTCTCCGCCTCATCTCTACTCCTCCTCTCCTGCCTCTACCCCTCTCCCCTCCCGCTCCCCATCACCCCTCCGCTTCCTCCGCCCCGAGGCCTGCTCGGGTGTACTGGTAGCTCTTGAGCGGGCAGTCCGCAAAATAAATGCCCTTTCCGAACATCCCAGGATGCTTCGGGAGCCTGAACCCGTCGCACACGATCGCCAAGGCCGACTCCCACGTCGTGCCGTGAAACAAAAGCCCAGCGCCGACACGAAACTTCTGGGAGCGCCCGACACGATACACGTTCATCACCCTCAGCCGGAAGTCGTACTTGTGGGCCCAGTTCGCCTCGCAGGAGTGGAAATAGTCGACGATCTCCGAGTACTCGGTGGTCCCGGGCTCCACCTCCGCGACGCCTGGCCACTGCTCTATTCTGCGCAGCCCTATCGCCTTCCGCACCATCCAGTACACCGCCATGAAGAGCAGGGCAACGCCGACCTGATCTGCGATCAGCGAGTCCACGGCGGTCGCGAAGATCACCGCAGCGGCCGCAACAGCGAGTCCGAGGACGGCGCCGGCAATTCCGCACGTCTCCCCCAGCACCTCAGGGACAACGAAAGGGGGAGACTGGCTCAGGCGGGGAGCTTCGACCCCGAATCGACAATTCGTCGCCAACAGATCGGCGACAGGCCCCCAATAGCGAAACCGCACGTGCCTGGGCGGGGTCGGCTATCAGGCGATGAATGGGCGGTTGGGGGTCGATGCATCCCTACACCGCCCAATGTTGGAGGTCTGGAACTGGGCACCAACACCAACACAGGGGGCTGCCTCCACAGGGGGAAGATGATCCTAGATGTCGGTGTTGGTGGTAATGTTTCGGTAACCTTGGAAGCAAGAATCTTACCACCATCACCGAGATCAGGATCTTCTTCCTTCGGTCGAGGCACACCGCCGACATTGGTGTTGGTGTCAACCTCTAGGCCTGAAATGATCCGCTTCGCCTGGTGCTCGGATCATATCTCAGGTCTCCGGCGGCCGTTCGGACCGATCCGGGCACCCCCGGGACGCCCTCGGCGAGGCGCAGGGGCTGGAAGGCACCCCGAGGCTGGGAAACCTCCAAGCACGCCCCAACACTGGCCCGACAGATGGGCCGGAAACTTCCGTGACGAATCCCCCCTAGAGTTGACCCCCGGCACCACAGAGGTGCCGACTCCCAGGGCAGCGTAGCCGACAATGGGCAGCTGCTCTTCGAAGGCCAGGCTCACCAGGGCGAGGGGCACGACGAGCAGCCACGCGGTCGCGGCAGCCACGGCGCCGCTCTGCAGCGCCATGGTGGGTCCCAGGGCGCTCCAGTCGTAGAGCACCAGCAGGCCACCGAGGGCCACCAGCAGGCCAGCGACCAGCAGCGTCGTGTCGTCTGTCTCGCCGGTCAGGTCCTGCACCACCTCTCGGCGGCGCGCCCAGGGGGGGGGGGAAGTGAGAAGGGGCAGGCCCTCTCAGGAGGCGGCGGGGCTGCTCAGAAGCCCAGGCCTTCTGAGCATTCTGAGAGGAGGCGCTCCCCCTCCGAGACTCCCCCCACCCCTGGGCTCGCCACCGAGCCTTGGTGGCGGCGACCGCCGCAGCCGTCAGCACCAGGAAGCTGACTAGCGCGCAGCAGCACTGGAGCGCCCTGCAGCAGTCCGACCGCACGGAGGTCGCCGGCTCCTGCTTCGCGCGCCAGCTCTCGCCGCGGCCGACGGGCCCGCTCCGGGAGCGCTCCATGCCAGCGCCGGGGCAGGCCCCGCCCCGCTGAGCATCGTCCAACGGATCCCTGCCCCCACCGGCGTGGCCTTGGCCCCACTGGCCGGCCTGCCCACGCGCTCCCGCGCCCCCACCAGTGCTGTTGGAATCGGGCACCCCCGCCCTCCGCTGGAGGGGTACGCCCGCAAGCCTCGCGACGGCCTCGCGACGGCCTCGCGAATCGGATCGCCCCTCCCTCTATGGTCGTGGCCCTGTGGGCCTACGGGCGTGGCGTAGAGGGTGCTCGTCGTCGTCGTCGTCATCGTCGTCGTCGTCGTCGCTGTCGCAAGAATATTTTTCAGCGAAGCGTGGAGCAGACGGGGACCACGCGTCGGCGCCGCCTACCAGGCAGCCCGATTGGGGTCGCCGCAGAGGGAAGGAGAAGAAAGGCGACCTGTACGACGCGCCGGCGAAGGCGGTCGCCAAGCCGTGCCTCAACGACGCGCGCGAGCTGGCCAACCTCGCGGGCACGGTGTCCCAGACCTGGGAGCTGGAGGCGGGGCCCCAGTGCATCACGCAGATCATGATCGACTCAGGTTCGGCGACTCCGAAAGGTATGGCACCCTAAGGGGCACCCTGGGGGCACCCTGAGGGGCACCCTGGGGGGCAGGCGAGGACCTCGATGGAGCTCTCCGCCCTCGCCCCGAGGAGGCCCGACGAGGACAGCGCCGTGCCCCCCAGGCCCCAACGGTGCCGATCGCAAACCACACCCTGGCGTAACCGTACCCTCTGCAATCGCCGACCAGTGCATCACGCAGATCACGATCGACTCGGGCGGCAGGCACGACGAGGCTGCCAAGAGCCTCAGAGAGCGGCGGCAGCACGGGGAGCAGATCGACTCCAGGGCGCCGGGGGCCTCCGCGCGTGCAGGTGTTGGCAGCGGTGAGCCTCCACCTGGTCGACCACGCTCAAGGGCTTCGAGGGGCAACGATAGGGGGGGACTGGCACAGAGGGGGATGCATCGACGTGGAATCGGCGATACATCGCCGATAGATCGGCGATAGACCCCCGATGGTGGGTCCGCACCTTCATGGGCAGGTTGGGGCTATCGTGCCCCTATCGGCGATCACTGGGCGATTGGGGGTCGATGTATCCCCCACCTATGCCCATCCCCCCTATCGTTGCCCCCGAAGTTTCGACATGGAAGCGACACCTACAAGGAGTCAGACAACATATCCCTAGGGTACTTCCAGGAGTACATCCATGCCAAGAGCCCCCAGGACGTGGCGAAGCACGACCTTGAGCACAAGGGGATGAAGTGCCAGGACCAGGGCGGTGCGTCGCAGGCGTCGCAGGGCAGCCAGGACCAGAGCCCGGTGAGGAAAGGTAGGCTGACGTTCGCTTTCAGCTACGACGACCCAGGGAGGGAGGCCAGGACCATGCTGCTCCAGCTCCTGAACGCCACGACGCCGTCCAAGGCCGTCCAGCTCGTCAGCCCAGCCCCGCGCGGGCCTCTCGAGAGCGAAGCGTCGAGGCTCCTCGTTCTCATCGAGAAAGTAAGCAAAGGTGAGGTGGACTGAACCAAGGTGAGGGCGGGGAGAGGTCCAGGAGCCACTCCCGTGACAGCGTCCGAAAGACAGACGAAATCTGAGTAGGAGAGCGTTGGCAGGTAGTGAGCGTCTTGCAGATTTGGTGGCCCGAGGAGTTGGCCCAGAACCTTTTGGTGCCATTAGTTTTGATACATATTCGAATCCAGACCTTCCCCCGATCCCTTAGTTGTGGCTCCTAAGCGGGATCCACGGAGGGGGACGAGCAGTAAGAAGCACAGAAGATCTAGTCACGGGTCGGTCCCCTAGGCGGCCCCCTCAAATGCGCCTGCGCGGCGCCCGAGGGTTCGCCGACGTTCGGGTGCAGTGCTGGCTCTGCCAGAGGGGGTTCACCCGTCCATTTAAAGGTTGACCCGCTCCCCCAAGAAGTTGGGTCGCGCAGGTTCCTTGGACAGATTTCTGGTCTGAGGTTTGAGCAACTTATTCGGACTCCCCGCGTACTGCTCACTGTTCATTGCTCACTGCTCCTCCTCCTCCTTATCCTCCTCCTCCAGCTCCTCCTCCTCATCCTCCTCATCATCATCACCACCACCACCATATCATCATCATCATCATCATCATCATCATCATCATCATCATCATCATCATCATCATCATCATCATCATCATCATTATCATCACCACCACCACCATCATCATCATCATCATCATCATCATCAACAACATCATCATCAACAACATCAGTATCATCAACATCATCAACATCATCATCATCATCATCATCGCCATCATCATCATCCACATCAGCATCATCATCATCATCATCAGCATCATCATCATCAGCATCATCAGCATCATCAGCAGCATCATCATCATCATCATCAGCATCAGCATCAGCATCATCATCATCATCATCATCACTATCATCATCATCATCATCATCATCAGCATCATCATCATCATCATAGTCATCATAGTCATCATCATCAGCAGCATCAGCATCATCATCATCAGCATCATCATCATCACCATCATCATCAGCATCATAATGATCATCCTCATCATCATCATCATCATCAGCAGCATCATCATCATCATGATCATCATCATCATGATCATAATCAGCATACTCATAATCATAATCATCATCATCAGCATCATCATCAGTATAATGTTCACCATCCACATCACCATCATCATTAGCAGCAGCAGCATCAGCATCAGCATCCTCATCATCATCATCATCATCATCCTCATCTTCGTCATCATCAGCATCATCATCATCAGCATCAGCAGCATCACCATCAGCATCATCATCACCACCACCATCATCATCACCAGCATCAGCATCATCATCACCATCGTCGTCATCAGCATCAGCATCATCATCATCATCATCAGCAGCATCATCGTCCTCGTCTTCATCCTCCTCCTCCTCGTCCTCGTCTTCATCCTCTTCCTCCTTCTCCCGTTTTGTCCTTCACCTCCTCGTCCTTATTCCCAGAAGGGGACGGATGAGGAGGGTAAGAAAAGAACAGCCGAGGGCATGGAGAATGATGTAGAAGAGGGAAAGATGATGAGAAATAATAAGAAGGAGAGGGATCAGGATGGAGAGAAAATTCAACAAAAAAGGGTAGAGCTGCGGAAGTGGAGGATGAAAGAGATAAGCGGGAGTAGCAATAGGTCTAAGAGTAAATGTCGCGAGAGGAAAAAACGGGAGTAGGGGTGGGCAGCACGACGACGCGGAAAATCCATGGGCGATGGATGGGGGCTGCGCATGTGTATATATAATGTATTTATATACACACGTATATTCGTAGACTGGCCAGTGTACTACAGAACCAGTTCCAGAATCCGCTTAGCCAACAATCGCCGAAGGACTTCAAAATCGTGCCCGCAGCATCCCGTCGTGGCATGCGAAAGCGCTGACGGACCTTGCATCCAGGTCACAAAGGGTGGAAACGAGGTGCAAGGGGAGGAGGAACAGCAGGAAAAGGAGGGGACGCAGAGGATGCTACGGGTGTACGAGGCTGGAGGAAGCACCATGGAAAGACTGAACGGGGAGCAATCCCTTTCAGAACCGACCCCGGTTCTTATTTCAGCTTCTTGACGGCACAGGGAGAAGGGGAAAGAAACAAGAGAGAGGAGAGCAGGAACGTGCAAGACAGGCGCGCCCGCGCCATGTCTTACATCCGGCCCCTTCCACTCAGAATTTCACTGTCTTGTAAACATCCGCCGATGGGTATAACAGCGGACTTGGAAACCTAAAAGAAGACCCCATAGTGCCACGCGCAATCATACAGGAGAGCTGCGCGCGCACATTGGAGGAGGAAGTGAAGGATGAGCGAGAGAAAAACGAGCAGGGGGAAAACGGAGGAGGTGGTGGCGGGTGAGCAAGATGATGGGCAAGAGGGACAGGAAAACGGGAAGGAGGACGAGGAGGGACAGCAGCAGCAGGGCCCTAGAGCGGGGGAAGCGGGAGGGGCAGCATGACTAGGGGACGGCGTGGGAAGGAGTATAAGCGGCGCGACAACGATGAGGAAACACTCGGATCCAAAAAAAGGCCCGCGCTGGGGCGAGAGCGCCGTTCTGAACCAAAAAAATACGCCGATGCTGGGACTGACTCCGACGCTGCAGCGGGACCACCATTTCGAGAAACCGAAAACGCTCCGAGTGAAACAAAAGATAGGAAATACCAATGGTCGAATTCCTGCGAATGCAAAGCAATGCGCGGTGGGGGGCGGGCCAGTCCACTAAGATTGTCCGGTGAGCGGGGAGAGTAGGAATCTCCGTTATTTCTGCTGGTGGCGATGCCCACTACACTAAAATGCATCCGCATCGCCTGCACTATATATAACGGCATACGGCCACAACCTCTCTACCCAAGTGGCTGTCATCCCCCGCCCTGTGTATCGCAACATCCTCCTGCGAGGGACGTGTTGCGACGTGGCGGGCGGTCGGAAAACGTCGCCACGATTGCAAGCCGAACCTCTCGGTTTGCATCCGCCCACCCGCCGTTGACCCAGCACATGGGGGTGGTAATTGCCCGACCCCTGCATGGTGCATGGCATCTCCGTCCTTTATTGATGGTGGCGATGTTCACTGAAATGCTTCCGCATCATATGCAATGTACCTGCATATATCCGCATCCTCTGCATTACCCGGGGTGGTATCCACTTCTACCGACCACCCCGCAGTCGTTGGCCCCCGTCCTAGCGCGGGCAACTTCGACGTCCGAGCACGCAGCGGCAACCTGCGCGCCGTCGTCGGCGAGGCCGATCCCTCCAGGCAAGGGAGGTCCAAACGCGAAGGCGCGTCGGCGACATCGCGCGGGCATGGCACCCGCTCGAGACGCGACGGCATGCCGCGGCGGGAAGCAGCGGGCCAGGCTCGACGAACAAACCTCGTAGATGGCATCGGCCCGCTGATACTAGCACGGGCGCCATTGTTGCCCGCGGAGACGAGCGCGCGCTGGTCCGCAAGAATCGCGCCCCACGCGCCGAAGGTGACCGCCACTGGGAGCAGCTCGGCCTGACGGATGACCCGCCTGGCCCCCCGCCCCTTCCACCTCGCCGCAGCTTCATCCTCGACATGG